ATACATGAGTGTCGAGGCTGCTCTGACATGCTGCAATTCCAGCATGTTGGAACAAACTCGATCAATCAAATTTGCTGGAGCATGGCATATGCTGTGCGCCAGCAGCCTCTTGTGTCTCATGTATCAGTGTCCCTGTGCTTCAAAATGGCATCGGGAGTGCTTGCACTAAACCTCATTCGATGAGCTTTAGTTCAAGCGACTCTGCTGCTATTTTTAGGTACAGGGATGCTGATACAGGAGACGTGGTGGTGCTTTAATTAGAGCGGTTATTGGAGCCGCTTTAATTAAAGTGCTGGCCTCCCTCCTCCCCGCCCCCAGAACATGTGTAAAAGTGCCTGGAGGTACTAGATTTAATGCGCATTACCTAAAGTGCATTAATGAGCGTGTAGACATGCCAACTGAGTACCAAGAACCCCACTGTCTTCAGGCTCAGCACCCTGTAGTATTGGGCCCCACGTGTTATTTTCTGGCTACTTTTAGATTCCACACAAGTATGGCTTGGCAGGATCTTTCCTTGCTTTCTCTGTCTCATACTCTAATGACTGGAGGGGGCAGCCACAAATAGTACTCTTATTTTCCTTTGTGCCCTGCCTTACGCTTTCATGTGTAGCATCCTTATATTGTTGCTGCACCGTTCTCTTGTAGTCTAGCTATTTCCTGCATTATGTGCTGCCCCCTACCGGGTTGAAGTTTTTAGCTGGTGACTGTCCTTCATTTGGCAAATGTTTCCAGAGAGCTGAAGTTTCCTACTCATTGCTGTCAGTGACTGTTGGTAGAAGATTTGGTCTTTGTACTGTATCTTAAGAGAGCGAAGATTTGCAGGACCGTGCCCTAAAGCTTTAAGATGACCTGTTCCAAAATACTAAACAATGTGCAACACTGGGGAAAGAATTTGGGAGAAAAAACTACAAGGAGTTTGCAAATGTGTCTTTAAAATGTAGCAAATGAATTATATCTATTTATTGATTTAATGCCACTGGAAGTGAATTGTGTTCTTAGTCTATTGTAAAAAATGTTGAGCTTCTTCTTTTATGTATCAGAAATAGGTATGGAAATGCAGAGATTAAAAGAAGCATTTTTCTCAAAAATAGCAAGAAAACTCAGAACCCCCCAAATATTAGGCTAAACCCATCCCAATTCCCCAAATCAGGTTTTAATTATGCCTCCTAATCTATTCTACTTAGGTTTTGGTACTGTTTTGTTTTGCTCTGCAAACATTTGAAATTATCCAACATACTCTGTAATAAGTTAAAATATTTCTTAAAATGAAGTAGCCAGCTACAGTTATATATGCTAATTATTACTCTACCTTTTCCTATTTTTAAAGCTGTTTGTGCAGTTGGATATTTTCTCCCATATATTTTAGAAAGCCACATCTGGAGACAGCATTTGCTTAGTTTCAGACCTCACTGGAGCTGTTCTGGGCAGAGATCTGGCAGTTTCATCAAGGAGAGGTATGCCATGCTACCTACCTCTGTCTCGCCACTCTTATGAAGCTACCAACAGTAGCTCTGAGGTTGAGTTCAAAGGAAGAGGCTTCAGGTCCATGACCTCAAAGTATCAGTTTTATTCTAAGGAACTGTGTATTCCCAAAGGAACTGTTCACTCCTTCCTGATACTTTGTATTCTTAAAAGAAATCCTAGTTCAAATCATGCTTTGAGGTATGTCCTCAGAGTTACAGGGACTAAAAGGCAGGCCTGGCCCTCTGTCTTCAGTAACTGCCAGTCTTCACTGATGATCCAAAACCTTCAGGATTCCCACATATTTCCTAAACATTAAATGATGTGCAGCACTGGGGAAATAATTTGGGAAAAGACTAGTCAGTGGTGTTGGCTTCTGTCATTAGTTGCAATTCAAGAACAGCTCTGTGAAACTGAATAGGGTATCTTACTCATGCTCTAACTAGGAATTGCTATGATTGACTTCAGCAGTAAGAGATGTTTGCTTATCCAACGTCACTGTTAATTTGTTTGTATTGTTTAACAATTGCTTTACAGCAGCAGCAGCAGCTTCCTGAGCATGAAGGACAAGTAGGTGCTAGCATTGTGGATTTAGTAGCCCACTAGTACTGTAACAGATTTTTTGCTGAAATGGCTAAAATATGAGATGGCTCCTTTCCAAAACTGGTTTCTAACAATGACTTGTGATGTGAAGGGAAAATTAATCTCTGCATTTAGGCTGCAGACAAGCCAGGATGCTGTTAGCAGCTACTGACACCCCCATAAGGGTTAGTAGCAGTGGCTAGTAGCACTCTTGAATATTAATGGTGCAGAGATGGCTGTAGTGAATGAATGTTAATGAACAGTCCAGCTTGCAACTAAGCAGGGAGCTTCAGGTATTTGAGACAGTGTCAACTTATTTTTGTTAATTGATTGCAATCAAGTTTTCAGTAGGGCATCTTTTAAGTAACTTCCTTAGAAATACTATACAGTATTTTTGGCTCTTCTGCTTATATTTATAAGGATCCTTTTTCAGCAACGAACAGTGGATTGTTCTGAAAATATCACTGTATGCACTTGCAGTCATCTGTCTTCTCCCCATGCCCCTTCTCTGTTGCCTCTTAAGTTTCAATTTCAGTTTTTCAGTTTTGGTTGTTACTTAGTTTTCTCTTGAGGAGTTTGTGGAAGACCATGCCCATGAGCTATCATCATGTCCTTGAATGAGCTAGGAACTGAAAATAATTCTCGTCAAAACAGTGAAATTAGCCATGTGCAACATCCTGAGCCAGCAGAGCACTTAACTACATGTTTACGCATCTGTGTAGTCCCACTGAAGTCAAATTAAGCACATGCGTAAGCACTTTGCTAGATCAGGACCAAAGTGCTGTCAAATGAGAAAGTGATTGTGCTGAAAAAGGAAAGGGAAATAATATTTTCTCTCATGTTCTTCAGATGTAGCATAGAAAGTACAAATGTTTTGAATATACTTCTATGATTGTCAGTGTATTCTTTTAAATACACCTATGTAGCATGTTAGAGATTTGGTTTAAGGACAATATCAGGCAGCATTTTGACACTTTTGGAAAATATAATTGTTATTGATCTGTGGAAAATTAAAGCTGCGTAGCAAAACTGTACATTTCTTTCTGAAAGAAATGTATTTAAAGGCATGATTCCAGCCATTGTAGAGCAGCTGTCATAGCAGGATTTCTGCCATGATTTGTCACATTTTAGACAAAGTGACTTGGATTATTATTTTCTTTCTTCTTTGTTTGTTTCTTTGGCAATGTCCATTTGGGAATTTGATTTAGGAGTAAGAAATTAATTTTGATATGTAATATACGTGTGTGTATGTAAATAGAATCTATACCAAGTTCTAAGAGCCTGGCAAGGTATGCAATATAGTAGAAATAAAATAAATTGGTCAATACAATACACGGGGAACTTCAAGCACTGTCAGACCTGAGGGCCTGATTTTGACATTCAGGTAAAAATTCAGGGCTAAGTCCAAGGACAGCTCATTCCTGATTGATGCTTGGGTACTATTGCCAAACAAATAATTCAAAAAATAATAAATCCCCTTGGGTCAAATTTTGTTCCCTTTAATTATGCAGGTAGTCATTATCATCTCACTGGCACAATACAGGAAAATGAGCAGGGTTTAGCTTGTGAATATCAATGCAAGAAGGGTGTTTGCTTCAGAAGGAACTGCACAGCTGAGCTCTTCATGTACATAGCACGGTAACTGAAAAATATTGCAGTCTTAAACAGAGAGCATTACTTCTGCTAGGAGATCTTAGCTGTGAGAGCTGTGGAAGAATGGTAACTACATCATGTGCTAACAGAATATCGTTTTGACTGCACTAATTATTTTGTTCTTTATCATTTGATCATTTCCTTTAAAAGGGCCTTTTACATCAATTTAGGGTGCAGAATATTATATGCATAAATATATATAGATATGACTATGTATACATTTAATTGTCCCAAACATTATACAACTCAGCTACACATAAACCAGTGCCTTACTGCTTTCTGAAATGCTTCATTACATAAAGGGCTCTTTATTATGAATAATCTGATCACAGTCTGTTTCATTTAAATTCCACTGAAATTAGATGTATGTTCCTTGTGAATTTTCCTTTGGTTCTCTAAGAAAATAGGTGCTTGTCTTCTGTAAATGTGTTTTCTTAAATGTATGTTTCAGGAGAATTTTGATAAAGCAACATAATAGCCATATTGTATGAGACATGAATGGGCTTTAGAGCAGTGGTTTGCAACATGAGGACCTCTAGGCTCTCTGAGAGCCAACTGTATTAAGATGAAAATGAGTATCTGATTTTAGACTGGAACCATAGACTGTGATTTCTAAACTGAAGTGTGGATCACTATAGGAGGTAATAAGGGGCATCTGTTCACCAGCTGCCTCCCACTGCTTGCCATGCAGCCCAGAAATTGCTATGGTACGAGCCTGGAGGGTGCAGAATATTTGCTCTCCAGAAGCTCCTCAAACAGCTCCCCTGTTTGGCCACCTGCTGCATTTGCAGGGGAGGGAGAGTAGCTCTGGTGGTTCCATTACTGTATTCCTTGCCTTTCCCTTCCCTTCCAGGGGTTGCGAGGAGGGGCATTAGGAACCTGCCTTGTTAGCTCTGCACTGCATGAGCCGTGTGCTCAATTACATACACAATGGTGGACTCTTTAGGAGGGAGCTTCCAGGTGCTTTCAGTTGCCCTTTCAATGCATAGGGCTGTATTGACTGCGAGTCCTGGGCATTTTAGAATTGATGTTTCTCTTGGACTGAAAAATTTGGACAATGGTCTCTAACCCAGGGCTGTCCAACTGGCAGTCCATGGGCTGTGTGGGGCTCCCGGAGGGCTAGCATGTTGCCCATGGGCTCCCACCCAGTTTCCTGTCCCTGCACTGTTGCTTTTGCTACAGCAGCCAGATTCTCAGGGCCCCCTTCTCTCTTCCAGCTTCTGCTTCCTGCCCCCGACTCATCGTAGGGGAAGAGGCCAGGCTGCTCATGCTGCAGGCGTGGAGTGGAGGGGATTGCTCACATTGCATGTAACTTTGCAGGTGGGAAACGTGTGGCTGGGAGTGGAGGAGCTGGTCGCACTGCATGCAACTCTGCAGGTTGGCAACATGCATGGCCGAGAGTGGAGGGGCTTCTCATGCTGCATGTAACAAAAGGAGCTGGGCTGTCTGCACTGCAGGTGGGAAACATGTATGGCTGGGAGTGGAGGAGATTACTATGCATGCAGCAGAAAGGAACTGTCAAAATGACTTCTGGCATTTTCTAGCCCTTACTGGCAGCCCCAGCTGCTTTCTCCCATCCAGGTGCCGGGGGAATAGTGAAGTTCCTGTCTCCACTTCTGGGACTGACAAGGGAGCAGGGTAAGCCTCTTAGCTGCCAAACACAACTGGAAATCTATAGTTGTGGGAGATTTTAAAATGGAAGAATTAGTATTTAAATATATGTGCTCCCTGGCCGTAAGTCACTTTACTGTAAAAAGGACTTGGGAAAGAATATAGATCATACATCTGTTGTTTGTCTGTGAAACAACTGTAAATTTCAAGTCAAAAGCAAAGAATAAGGGGTTGGGTAAATTGGCAAACTTTCTAAACTTTTTTCAAAAGCTGGCAATTAAAATGAAGGAACAAATTGTTTAGTTCAGAAATTATAGTTGTTCATTTACCCTAACTAATGTTCTGGCATGTTCATCTTCCGACTCCCTTTTTTTCTTCTTTTCATCTTGTATGGAGAGCAAGTGAATCACGTATACCTCTGTTGGTTTTGAACGAAAAGATTAGGGAAGAAGTAAGTGGTGCAGTTATCGAAAGTCTCTGTAAAACAATGGAGACCAAGTTTGGCATAACTTCTGGAAAAGTTAAAACATTTCCAATAATTTAGTGCGTTTGGGAATGCTTCAAAGAGTTTTCTGGTTAGCTCTGTGAACATTGTAAATACAGACAATCAATTGAATTAACCATCACATATTTAACTTAGTGTGGCTGAATTGAAATTTGATGTTGCAGCATAAATCCATGTTTATGCTCTCAGATACATACACTCCCTAAACATGATGTTTGCTGCTTTTCTCAAAAGAAAAAGCCTAATGGTGCAACTCCACCTCAGATAAAGAGAATTGGGTTCCCACCTGTCATCATATATAGGCTTGCTAATACAAGAATCAAGATGAAGTAAGGAAAACAGAATTTTACTGGAAAGCCAGTGATAACATTGACATGTGAAACCCTCTGAATGCTCCTGAAATCCTAGCCAGTATCTTAGTTAAACTTGTGAGCATTGTGGCATAAGTACAGCTAAAGGTATTCATACATGTTTACTCGTGATTCTTAAAGATCTTTGGCACCATATTACCTCTATGTAAGGTGTCCGGTGGTCCAAGGTTAAGAGTCTCTAGGCTAGTCAAATTAGTAACCTTGACATACTGATAAATAGAGCAGTGCACCCTGGACTGAGCCAGGAAATTCTGTAATAAGTTTTATTCCTCTTTTCATCATTATGGGTGACTTGGAATGAGGAATCTTTCTGACATTTGTTTTGCAGAAAACTCAGCGTATTAAACAGTTCAGTGATTGTCATTTTAACAGTGCATGTTGAAATGTTTGTAATCAAAGGGATACGTTTGCACATTTATTGCAGTGGAAACATTTTCCAAACTTCACAGTGCCCCTGAGAGAGAGATAAATAGATGTCTGCTTTATAGATAGACAGATCAAAATAATAACTGATTTTCAAGTTGCCCAAAGTCACAGAGTAAGTGAATGGCAGAGTAGGAGTAGAAACAGGGATACTCAGCTTCCAAGCATTTGTTCTAATCAGTGGGAAATGAAATGAAAATCTTCACAGCCTGCCCAGATAAATAAATGTTTATTCATTGGACACACAGAGAAGATAAACTTCTCTCTCTTTGAGTAGAGCTGTAAACCGGGGGCTGGCAGTCTGCACACAGCTGTTTGAAATCATCTTTGTAGCTCCTTGCAGGTTTTTATGTGAAAACCTGTTACTTGTATATCTCAACAGCATGGTGGCTGAAAAAAGGAGCAGTAGCAGATGTCTATGCTTGAATGGCATGATTTATTTTTGGACATTTTAAGGTTCTTCCCCCTCTTCCCCCCCAATCCCCTTTTCCTTTTTTTAAATTGTATTTTAATGTTTTCTGTGTTTGTGTTTCCTGTATTTTTTCTTTCTAGTTTTGTTGTGTTTCAGCATTTCAAACATTACATATATGCATTAGAAAAAAGGTTGTGCTTTAAATGTGAGGCCTCAATCAAAGCTTATTGTCCTTTGCATCCCATTCAGGTGGAAGAGAAGGCTGTTCACCTGCAGTACATAGTAGACTGTTTCCCTGGAAGTCAATTTTTTTGGGAAACAGATCCTGAATGATGAGATGCCACCTCAGCTGTAGGTGAGGATCCTTTTGCTGGAAGGGTAAAAGCAGCACTAACACTACGATGATTCTTGTTTCAGAAAATAGATGTTGAGGGGAAGTTGCGGGGAGAGCCTTACTGCTTCCTGCTGCAGAGTCAGCATTCTGACTTGGAAATTAGTTTGGCTTTTGTTTTGGTATAGGAAAGACAAGTTTCTTCATTGATAGGTAGGCTGCTGGTCTCCAATCCACAGCACACAGGCAACACATTTCTGGCAAGACCCTACGGTATTGCTCATTGCCATAGGAAATTAAAAAGTTTAACTTGAGGTTGACAGGTTCAGCGTGATGTTGCCCACAACAAGTTACTTGCTATTATTGTTGGTGACGGGCCAGTGAGAATTGTGGTCACTGATAGAGATGATCCAGTGAAATATAGAGGGTAACACTAAGCAATGAGGAAATATGCTTCCATTATTTATTATTGAAAAAGAAAAATCTCTTATGAAAAGCTGGAATATCTAGGGTAGATATTGAATGGATGTTTTCACTGTTTATACATGGGGTGTTAAATATATTCATGAGAAAAGAGAAGATTAAACAGTTGTTAAGCTCGGTAATCAGATGGAAGAGTTGTTTAGGGAGTCAGGCCTGCAGGCTTATCCTGGCTTAAATTTACCATGAACGGCACGTGCCCCCGGCATCTGGGGGGGCTGGCAGCGGTGGGAGTGAGTGGGGAGCTCCTGCAGGCACCACTGGCGCTGTGCTGCTGGGGGGGGGAGGTGCGGCACGCATGGGTAGCAAGTGCCGACCATGGGTACCACCCACAGGCACCGCCGCCAGTGTTGGCTGTGACCAGCGGGGATTGCTGACTGCCTGCAGACGCCACTGGCGGTGTTGGCAACGGGGCGGCGCCTTTTTGCAGGGGCTGCACCAGCATGCTCAGGGGGTGCATGTGCACCCGCGTGTGCCCACTATGTGTCGCCCCTGAAAATGACCTTTTAAAATCTGTACATGTTCATGTTTACATAACTAGGTGCGTGAGTGACAGCTGTAACCTGCACGTGCATTGTCTGATGCACGTGGTGAGTTTGTAGAATAATGATGATAATGCAAGTCCCCTGACTTGCAGGTCCTTGCTCGGTATGCTAGATAATGGATATCTGTGTGGTTTGCACGTTATCCCCCAAAAAGAAGGCTCAGAACTATCTAAAATGCGCGCACACAGAGAGCAAGCATCAGGGTGGGCCTTGTTTGCAGTTGATGGAGGACTCCAATCACAAGCACCGTTAACTGTTTTTATGCTCTTACTTTATTATAAGAGAAACTGTGTAAGACTTTATATGGGGTGAGTTCTCCCAAGCTGTGTTACAGAGGGAACCTTGATCAGCAAGTCTGATGAACAGGAACCATTTGGCTTAGTAGAATAGGGCAGGAGAACTGGCATGCTCCCTCCTCATGATGATACTGCATCCACGTGCTAAGATGCTGCTGTGACTCCACCCTAGTCAGTCTGTCAGAGGCCACGCTCTGGATCTTCACATGATAAATTGAGGAACATGGATTTCCACCCACGTTACTGAGGCAGCAATTGTTTAAAACAGTGGTTCTCAACCTTTTTTGTATCATTTGTAAGCATCAATGGCTGGTCTGACCCAGTGCACCTCACTCTGACCTGCTGCCTCCCACCCCCAGACCCCAGCTCCCTGTGTGGGGGGGGGCATGGTGGGCCCCAAGCAGCCCCCTGGCAGCTGGAACTCAGCCACAGTTTCCCACATTTTTCTTCTTTAAAGGAGAATCCATTTTTAAAGTTTATTGATCTATTTTTAAAGTTAGTTCATGACCCTTTCATATATTCTTGGGACCCACTTTTGAGTCACAACCCATGGGTTGAGAAACACTGGTTTAAAAGTTCCTCTTTAGGAACTTAGCTGCAACACAACCAATTGGAAACCCAATAACAGATATAAAATAATAAAACAAGTGTATACAATAGGCTATATACTCTCTTAACCCATGTATATAACTCCCTTGGACATTAAGAGGAATTTTGCATGGGACTGACATTAATATGACATTTTAATATGACTTTAATAGACACATTTTGTATGAGAGAAAATTGTAAGTAAAAAAATGAACCTTGTATACTTCCTTACAGCTTTGGGAAGACCCAAACAGTTTTTTATCAAGATAGACTTAATTTCATCTGCCTGTTCTTTAATATTAGATAGTTTGGTCTTGTGTGTCCTGGAAAACTTTATGGTGACTGAAGACCTTCCTTTGTTTGTCGTGTCCTTGTGTGACAAGGTATTTAGCAGAATTCACAGTTCTGTTGGACTCTGACAGGCTGCAGCATGAGCACTTCTGCTGTGGCCTTGAACTTGCAACTTCTGGGCTGTCAACCGTATACCTCTGCACCTACACCACTTGATCTGAGAGGTCTTTGTTAACTGTGTATCCTCCACCCAATCATTAAGGAGTGAAAGCTAATAATAAACATCTGTGAAGCACCTAAAAAATCACTTCTAAAATCAGACTCAACATGGACACTCAGATAAAATGGCAATGTGTCCAGTGCTAGAATAGAATAGACTAGAACATCCCTGTTATTTTTGCAGTAGAAAACAATCTTCTTTAATAAACTGCAAATGGCTGACAATTAAAAAAATAAAAACATAAAAAGCAAAAAAGGTGCAAAACTAATTTTAAGAAATCATTTTAAGTCTCTTTTAACCTTGTGAGAGTGGGTTTACAGTACATAACCACTGCTATTACACCTAATATTCAACGAAAAGTTTATTATATTCAACAAGAGCTCTTTTTGAAGAGCTCCTTCTGTAATAGGGAGGTAAAACCCCTTTGAGCCCACTCATTTTGAAAGTGGTTCAAGAACTCTTCCTGGTTATAAAATGTGATGAGACTTAGCTCAGCAACTGTATGCATTGTTATCCTGGGTAAAGGTACTGAGAGGGAAAGCTGATAACTTCTCAGGAGACTGTTTGTAAGGTTTGATGAATTGGCAGTACTTGCTGTTTATTGCTGTAGATATCCTCTCACAAATGATTCAGATGAAAAACAGGGAGTTGGCTACTGTATTGTAAAGACCTTGTAGCTAAAACACTGATAAAGCCCTTGAACTTGATTACTGGTATCTTGCTAACTGTTTTACCCAGCTCAGCTGACCTTGTGCTGTCCCATCAGTAGGCACACCTGCCTTTTCCCTTTAGAAGCTATAAACAGTAACTTCACAAGTTTAAAAATAATAATTTTGACATATGAGCTACTATTATTGTTTGGCTTGCCGTACCAGCATCCTGGGTTTGAGCTGCTTTGTGGGGTGTTTTTTTTTTCTTTTCTTTTTTGTTTCTCTCATACATTTTTGCTTGTCTTCTTCCTGGTAAGCTGTCTTTGGTTGTGTATGTTGTAAGTGTGTGCAAGTTCCCTTGTTTAGAGACATAAGTATATCATCATTATCACCATCTTCACAGGAAGAGGGAATCGCATCCCTTACTCCAGGACCCCAATTTAGCATGATAATCAGCACATTAGAAATTGTTAAAATGAACTAGATTAGATTATACCCAAGAGACAGATATATATGTAAGGAGATTTTGGCCAGATTCTGACCTCAAGCTGTGTATGCAACTCCTATTAACCCTCATGCATTTCAGAAGGGAATATTTGGTCCTTTTTCTTGAGTAATGTGTATCTTCATTACTGCATAACAGTCTGCTGGCTAAAAATAACTCAGGGTGATCTTTCCAAGTCCGGGGGCCCCTGAGCTCCCACTGACGTTCCACCGAGAAACCAGACAACTGCGGCGCGCCCCAATGAGCGCACACCGGAAATCTACCAGAGACGAGAAGAGCCAATTCGGTGTGGGGGCACATTTCTCACAAGAAAACCATTTCCTCTGCAATCTCTCAGCTCTAATCCTCAAAGGGATGTAAAAAAACCCCAAAAACCTTTCACAGGTGAGCCTATGAACTCCACTTTATCAATCTACTGGATTAAAAAAATCATGAACTCAATATAGACATTGGATTTATGACACATTATAACCTGCCTAACAGCTGACTCCCCAGGTAAACCCTCCACTTTTTACCAGCTATTGTCATTTCCTTCCCCCCACCACCCTCCTGTCTCATCGTTTGACTACAGATACATTCATTTCCCCCCCACCCCGCTCCTGCTGACCACCTCAATTTACATTTTCACTGACTGGCTTTCTTGCCTACATATTGGCCTCTGGCTGCTTTACCACTCCATCCAGGAAGAGCACAGACCATCTGCAGGTGCTTCCTCAGCCTGACGAAGGGCGTTTGTGCCCGAAAGCTTGCTAAGAAGAATTTTTTCCAACTATTTGAGTTGGTCTAATAAAAGATATCGAATTTACCCAAAGAACCTTGTGTGCCATCGAGGCCATTGAGCACTTTGTGGTGACTGGGCCTCTGCTATATGTTAGCAGACCATGAGGATGTTTGGGAATCAGTCTGCTTACAACTTGGTTCTTCTGTGACACTGATGGGCAGTAAAGCCAGGAAGCGGAGTACAGATGGCTTGGCAGTCACGAGTAGGGAGTTGCGAAACTGATCCTGCTGGACTTCCCATGCTTGTGGCTGCTAGGGCCTGGGTGAGTGAACAAAGCAACATAACACTGGAAGGGCCCTCCTAGATTGTGGAATAATGCCCCTGTTATCACAGACAACCATGTCCTACAATTTCAATTCAAAATATACCCTCTTAGCATTTTGTGCTTGTATAACTCCTATGAAGCCCTAGTGATTGCCTTCAGTGGTGTGGAGCAGTGATTCCCCAGCTGCAGTCTGCATGGATAAGTGGTCTGAATAAATGTTAGCAGACCCAGTGTCTCAGAAGTCAAACAAGAGCTACCCTACTAGCATCTTTTTTTCCTGTTATTTTCCTTGTTCATTAGTTGAAGCCAGAAACATGAATTGGGGGGGGGTGTCCATCCGATCAGTATCCCATGCTTTCATTTCTGTTAGGATTATTTTTACACTTGGCTCTCTTTTAAGCAT